GGTTTGTAGACGTACAAAGTAAACATTTCTCTCACCTTCGTGGCTCCCCGTGTGGATCAGCAAAGATCGATCACAAAGGAAGCTTTTCCCACATGTCTCGCGCTTAATTGGCTTCCAACTTTCGTGGAGGTTTTTTTCCTCCGTATCAGCCCTCAGAGGCTCTCTACAAACAGATTTTACAGACTGCTCATCTGGCTCAACTTCAGAGATATTTTCCTTATCAAACTCAGGGGTCTCTTGTTGCTTCTGGTTCAGACTGGAGTCTCTCTCTTTACTACAGCACTTCTGGTCAGCAAATGCATCTTCCTCAACGGCCAGTTGCTGTGGAATGACTGCAGAGAAAGAATAAGAAATACATCCAATCAGATTATCATAATGTAGGGTGAAGCCTTTTTAATAGCAAAACCTGGCTTTCTACTGTATTCTGAATAAAGTAAAACTGATCTGCTGATGACTTGAATATTAATCTAAATAACTTATGACAGCTGTCCAAAATGATGAAAACGTATTAGACGTAAAATGGTGAATGTGATTATCAAAAGTGAGATTGCTGTCCATAGTGATGTCATAGTCTGTTACTCCATATGTTTAAAACTAGTTTTATGCTTTAACAAGTTGTACTCTCATTTCTATGTTAAAAGATAAGATACTTTATTGATCTCACAGTGGAGAAATTTAATTTCAGTACAGCCCGTCCAAGATCTTACAAACAGACACACAGACACAGGGTTCGGGAAGACTTTGGGGCAGCTCACCTTTTTACTTCAGAAAAAAAAGAAAACATTGGTAAAGTGGTTTAGGGAAGAGGAAGAAAAGGGCCCAGTGCCACAACCCCTACAAGGGATGTAAGAAAGATGGAAAAAAAAAAAACTCAATACACTTAGTCCAGGGGTGTCAAATTTACGGATTTAATCCGACCCGCGAGATGATTTGAAGTTAAAATTAAATAACATCTTTCAATGAAAGTAACTGCTGTTCTAAATGTGTCCACTGGATGTCCCAATAGCAAATGTGCTGAGAGGGCAAACTGGATACTTGTGCCGAGCCAGTAGACCTCTACCTGACAGTTGGCCCGGAGCAAGCTATCTTGTCGTTCTGCCCATTACGTCTTCTACTTTGAACATTAGACGCTTTGGCACCCTCAAGGCCCAAAAAATGTCTTTGTCAAAAAAGAGAAAAGTGGATACAGAGTGCAGAGTTTTCCAAGAAAAATGGTCATTATCCTATTTATTCACGGAAGTGAATGGGAAACCCGTGTGTTTGGTACGTTCACAGCAGGTGTCAGTGCTGAAAGAATATAACCTTCGACGCCACTATGAGGCTCTTCATACCGAAAAATACAAAAACTTGCAAGGACAACAGAGAATAGAGAAGGTGAATGAATTGTTGGCGGGTCTGAAGAAGCAGCAGTCTCCGTTTACCCGCGGCCGAGAAATAAGTGATGCTGCTGTGAAAGCTAGCTATCTTATTGCTAATGAAATTGCATTGGCTTCAAAACCATTTAGCGAGGGTGAATTTGTGAAGACATGGATGCTGAAGGCTGCAGAGACAGTGTGCCATGAAAAGCGTCAGGCTTTTGCAAATATCAGACTGACAAGAAACACAATTGCAGACAGGATTTCTGATATTTCAAA